AACTTTAAAATAACTTATTACAACTGAGAAAAAAAAGAGTACATTTAATACAAAAGTAAACTCCCAAAGGTAGCACCTAAAAAGGCTAAAGATTCTTTAATTTTTCAAACAATTCTCAGAGTTTCTAAGCCAACTAATTAATGACTTTATTGATTTTCTTATCTAGAATAAATTATTCTAATATCCTTTATAAAACTAGATGATTCTCCATTAGAAAGATTTTCCAAAGTATGCCTCCTAAAAAACCTATAGGAAATTGAATCATTATATCGGCTTGTCAAATCTCTTCGTCTGTTTCTCCATGTCCAAACCCTCAATTGATCTTTCTTTCGAAGCTTTTCATCTTCCTCTTCAATCCATCTTATTTCTTCCAAGTGATTGCTATATTCCATTAAAGATTAATACTATATGAACAAAAAGGAGCTAGCAGGAGTCTCTATGCTATCTCACTAGTGTTTAATTGTTACATGGAAGGAAGGGGAAGAGTAACACACAAAACAATGTTGCCTTAACAGTATAAATGGAGCTGCAAATATAATAGAAGAAGACAACTATTTAATGGGCATTTGTGAGCAGTGATTTAAAAAGGGCTAGGCGTCAAAAGGTGTCACGGTCCAAAAACACCCAAGACACTAGGCGCTCGTTCGAATGAAGTGAGGTGCTAAAAATTAATAATATTAAAATTAATAGTATTAAAATCAAAACAATAGTGTTATATTGTATACTGTTAATAGTATATAGTATAATAGTATACTGTATATTTTTAATAGTATACTGTATACTTTTAACAGTATACTTTCAATTTCGAAAGAGAAGCGAAAGAGAAGAGAAGAGTGTAAGGGAAGACCGAGGGTGTTGAGAAAAGCGAGAGCGGCAGCGGTAGCGGCAATGGCGAGCGACGACAGTGGCAGCGGCAGTGGTAGCAGTGAGCAGCAGGAGCAGGAGCGGCGAGCGGTGACAGAGCACATAACATTCCTGTTTGAATTATCTTTTCAGTTTAGGAAAACATCCCATTTTGAATCATCTTGACTTTTATAATTTTTCTTTCATTTTGTATTAAACATATGTACTCTTCTCTATCCATTATTCTGGTTGACTTTAGTTGTTATTGTGAATCTTGTGCTCCATCCGTTGCTTCTTATGTCCACTTCATCCAATTTGCTCTAAGATCAAGTAATTCTGACTAGCTTAACATAATTGGTTTCTTCGTTAAGACTGACCACCTTTCAATTGTCAGCTTGTGTGACAACCAAAAAATATTTATTAACATAAATATAGGGTTTGCTGTGTCAACCTGTATCACTTAATACTGAGATACATACTAGTTCGATGAGATATCGGTACGAGGATCCTCCTTTACCAAGTGGTATCATCACATGACCTCGTATCGAACGATACGATATTTTTGTCGAGCGATAACAGTCGAAATCCAATCATTACCGTTCGAAAATCCGATCATTACCGATCTATGCCAGTTGGTAACGATCAAGGGTTGAGATTTCTCGATTTCAAATAGTCAATTTAATCGTTTAAGTCTTAGAAGAGGGTTTTTAAACATTTTTCTTCCTCTTTCAATTCATTTTGCTCTCTCGATCTCTTCAACTCTATTAGCTTGTGACACCATAATCGATTACGACGATTAGACTACACCTTGTATCGATAGCCTCGGACATGTGGTTCACGACGATCAGATTACGACCATCATCACATTGTTGCACTGATGACATATGGTGTATCAATACACTA